GTAATTTAAAGTTTTTAAGAATGATGGATTTAACTGAGTGGTTGTGAGGGTGAAACCTGAGAGTGAATGGAATGCGGTCGGAATCTTCCTTATGGGACGTTTGTAGCGCTGAATGTCGATCAATAAGTTGAGCGTGGTGGTAACCCGCTTGAACGACAGAAACAGGGTAACCTCGTTTATTGAAGAACTGGCACATTGACTCTGATTTGAGGTGGAAATCAGAGTCATCACTACATAAACGAGGAAGTCTTAGAAACTGAGGAAAAGGAATGGAATTCTTAACGTGAGATGGATGCTATGTTATGTTATGTTATGATGATGATGATGATGCTATGATGATATGTTATGTTATGTTTTACCATTATTGAGTTGATAGTGTAAATTGGCCAGTGCAAAGAGTCGCTGACATTGTGAGTATGAGCCCTTTGTGAAAGCAAACGAAGAAGGGTTACTGCTTAAAACGTCAGCTTTTGAAATGCTGTATAATGGCCATATTACATTATCAACTCAATTGATATAACCAAATTGTTTTGAAGGCTATTGGACTTTAACAGCTTTCTTCATTTATGTACATCACTCCTATCAAGATCTGCATAATTTGAACTCAATCGAATGAGGGTCATACTGTTGCATTCAAGCCACTTTTCCATCACACTAATGCTCTTTTTAGTTTATGTTTAAATTTTTTTCTCAACTTATTCCATCCTGTGATATCTTTCCTGTTTAATTTCTAGACATTACATGGAAAACAAAGAGTGGTGGAATAGTAAAATGGAGGAAGAATGGAAACGCGAGGCACGTCAACAGGTCATGGCAGCATTTTCAAGAGCCGAGAAGGCACTCAAACCTCCGGTCGAAGAGATGTTCACTGATGTATATGACACGCTACCCACACGTCTAAAGAAACAGTATAAGGAATGTATGGACCATGTAGCAAAATATCCCCATGAGTACCCCACTGAACTTTATCAGCCAGATAAATGATACAATAGGCTAAGGTGCAATTTAAAAATTTGAATGGGTTTGATGAAAAAGCTGCTAGGAATAGAATTAACACCTCCTAGGGCCAATGGCAAATAGTTGTGTGTGAAGGAAATAATTTATAATGGTCCTGCTTACAAATTGAGTTCAAGGTCCATTCTGTAAATCACACCAAGCTTTTCCACTGGGATTAATGGCTTAAGAGAAAATTGCAAGGGCCTTAAGCTAGTCCATGAGGAAAAACAAGGCTCCATATCCTACAATGCAGACTGAGATAATGATGTTAGTTAGATATTTATTTTATCTCTGGGTTCAAATAGAGGGGCAAGATTTCAATTCAAACAAACTTTTTAATTTAGCAGGCTGTATACTAAAATATGCCCTGCTAAATTGACCAATCCAAGTGCATGTAGTCACTGAGGAAAAAATAACAAAAAGGCTGGAAATGAAGGACTGGTTCACTTGACAGTATCATTCTTATTCAGTGGTTATAGTTATTTTATCTTTCTCTCTCCATCCTGCTTATTTGCCACTTGGGCCTCTGAGGTGATACTGTGGCTGTGTGTATGTGTGTGTGTTTATATAAGTCCAAATCTGCTGGGTCCGGCAGATCAGTTATATTTGATGCTTGCAGAAGGTGTGTTTGAATGGACCCCTCACTGGGTAACAGCTAGGACACCTTTTTCGGTATTTCACTTAGAATTATTCAATTGGCAGGGCCTCTTTCCAGACTGAGGTAAGAATTTATTCTCTCTGGACAATCAAAGGGTATTTAAAAATAAACTTAACAGGTTTTTTATAGAATGTGTTGTCAGGTACTGAGAACTTGGTTCTGAGTATCTGAATTATTCTTGAAAGTAAGAGTAAACAAATTTCCATGCTGTAATAACCTCTCAATTACAGTCAGTAGGTTTTACATGTTACAAAATGACATTAACGGTATTTGAGAAATTTGTTTTTAAGTTACTTCTAATCAAAATCACACAAGGTACTCCATTGCAAATGCAAAACCGGTTTCTTTGCTAATTATTGTAAGTGCGTTGTTCCTATTACAGTCTCTTTTGAAGTAAATCATCCAAGACTAGAGGGTGAAAACTCCTTGTGTCGATTCAACCATCTAATCACTAAGGTACACTGTATTTTAATGCTTTAATCTCAATACTTGTATATTTACTAGTAGTTGATAAGAAAAATTTGAAATACATCGAATAATCAAACCTGAGAGGAACTTAACTTTTTATACTATGGAAATGTAGTTTTTTCCTATGAGGTCTCAAGGTTGTGTTACATTTTTTTAGGAAGAGTCTTGAACATGCATAGTTGAAAGCATTACAGAAAAGTGGCCCAAAATAAATGTCATTGATTAAAACAAATTCATTCTGCATTTTACCATATACATGCACATTGAAAGTATTTATCTAAAATAAAAAGGAAAAAATTGAAATAAAGAAAAAAAAAACAAAAATAAAAGGCACCCCCTTCTTTGTATGCATATTCCCTGATGCCCCATGGGGATTCCCACTCTGAACATCCAAAGGGCTGGCATCTATCCTTTGGTACTCAGTCCTTCAACTCCAGCCGGCCAACAAATGGAGAAAAGAAACTTCCAAAGAAGAGCACATCACCATCATCATGAACCTCACTGAGGTAACCAGGTATAACTCTGCCAGTTGGATCATGGAAGCTTCTGGTGATATTACCACTTTCATCCAGCTCCAAGAGGAGGCCATACTTGACAGCTGTATTGGTGACTAACCATGGAAGGGAAACAACCTAAAATTTCAAAGTTCAAAACAAACTTGAAGTTAATCAAGCAACAAACTTCATTATGTAAGTTTTTTTCAGCACTACTTGGCAGTTGTTTGATTTAAAATGTAGGTTACCTAAGTGCTTTAGACATAATGCACTATCTAGTATGTTTTGTTACTTTTGAAGGGTAATTTTTTCATTAGATCCTGCAGTTTTTCACCATTCAACCCTTTTCACCCCAACATCACTGTGCATGCTCTCCATACTGTTTTCTATACATTTCCTGGAGTGCTGACGAGGAGAATTTATTCAACATTCAGGAGCTTCTTTGTGATCATTTCCTTTATTCTTGTGACCTTAATCTGTTTAAGGAGTGACATTGTAAACAGAAACTAGATGCAAGTCGGGGTCAAAGAGTTTAAGCCAAAATCAACTTCATTTCCACCATGACCAACCACTCTTACCTTTGCTATAAAGTTCTTTGCCCTGGGATACTGTTGCATCAAGTCAAAGAAGTCAGTGCGCATAGTTGCTATACCCAACCAGTATCCTCCTCTGCTGTTTAAGCGAATGTGGTCAGGAAATCCAGGAAGGTTCTGGATAAACACTTCTGATTTGCCTTTAAGTTCCCCTTTGAGGTAATACCTTAAACACAATCCAGACAGAATTTTAAAGGATTTTAATTCTTTAAAGTGCTTTTCAATAGCATAGGTCACAGGAAATTATGTGAAATTTCACATCCAGACTGCAACCAGGGTCCTTTCTTAAGGAAGGAAGAGAGAGGACTTTGGGAAGAAGATTGCCAAAGAATCATCTTAGAGAGGGGGGACTTTGTCTTTAAAAGAGTTTGGATCTGAATAAATAAATGAAGAATTTGAATGCTAAGGAGTGTCTGTAAGAGTAAGAATTCAGGGATGATGGTACATCACTTAGGGGAGGGTTAAGGTTAGGGTTAGGATAAGGTTAGGGTTAGGATTTAAGGTTGAGAGGACAGGGGTAATGCTTAGTAAGGGGGAGTAGGAGATTAAGGCCAGTATAAAAAAATTGAAAATGACTTCTTCATACTTCATTATTCTTGATGCACCAAGCTCCACTACTAGCACATAGTCACCCTCGGGAGAAATCTGGACACCACTGGCAAAGTGAAGACCATCTATCAGAACTTCCATTTCCCCTGTCTTGGGATGGTATGCCAAAAGCCTTCCAGTGTTATCTCCCTCCAATACAGAGTAGTCATGCTGATATCTTTGCCACTTGCTGCTTGTATCTGTAAAGTAGATGGTTCTGTCTTCTGCAATATCAAGATCATTCACAAATCTGAAAGGCCTGCCATTAATCCCAGGTTAGGAAGGTACTAGTGTACTAACTGTCTTGGCCTTTGGGTTCACTTCTAGCAATCCTCGATATGCATCAGCCACTATCAGGTTGCTTCCATATTTGTCAAAGCGCATTCCCTCAGGACGGCCACATATGGCCTCTGCTTCTGCCGTCCCTGTGTAAGAAAAAAGTAAAACTTGTAGGTAGTATTTGGTAAATCACCTCTATACAACAGGTGGGGAAGAGTGACTTATGGTTGGAAGGAAAGAGGGAATGCTCAATATTTGCTCAACACTTGAAGGAATGCTATGGAGTATAAATAGATGACAGACACCTGTCTCTATGCAGGCTGTAAAATTAATCTATCGGCATCATTAATATATTTTATTCATCAAACCTAAACTTACCACAGTTTGCCTTCTGCTCCCCAGTTCGAACAACATCTACCACTTTATCTCCCTCAAGTTTGACAATTCTCCCATCAGCTAAACCAGTATACAAAGTACCTGGAAAAGATGGACAGTAGCTTCTTGTAATGAGTTTAATTTCCAGTAAATAGACAAACATTGACAGATTTGCAATTTACACTTTTTGTCAAAGGTTGTAATCACATTGTAATATTATTTTATCATAAAATTAGAGACATCTTTGTTCCTGAGGTGTCTCCCCTTCTCAACCTCGGGCAGGGTAGGGGTAGCTGGAGGGGGGGCTGGAAGTTAGAGAATCTGGTAAAAAGTGGTGCAGAAATTATTTGAAAATTTCATACTAACTACCTTCACTATCAGCAGCTATAGATCCTGGACCAACCAGATCCCCTTCATACAACTTCTGTGTCTTTGTTAAGATGCTGTTAACCTCCAGTGCTCCTTCAAATTTGGGGCTCTCCTTTTGATAAACACTGAATTATTCAAAATATTGAGAAGATTTTCAGATATTACCATAATTGACATTAAAATACTGAAGACAATTAATTTGTATAAAGTAGCCTGTAAACACATGATTATTTACTTTCAGCTAAGAGAAATAAGGGTCAGTCTTCTAAGGGGTTATTTCTGAAGAAAAACTAAAATCTTTAAAAGTGGTGGAACATTTGTAATGGTGATGAGCTCTCCGGAAAGCTGAACCCTTTAACCTCCAGAAATGATTAACTGTAACTTCTCCTTGTAAAATTCATAAATCATCCAGCAAACTTATCAGGTAGAAGTACTGTTGCAACCTTGATTGAACACCAAGTTCTCATAACCTATTTACAAAGTAATGTGTAGCAGCTAGAGGGGAGAGTTAACAATCAAATCTTAAAAATTAAAGAGTCCATGGTATACTAACTGTTTAATTATAGACAGTTTGATGATACACTTGGGATGGTGTGTGTGGAATAAAGCCCTATTGAGGAAATTCTCATGCAAAATTGAATTCTCCTGTGTTTTAATGAGATAGTAGCACACAGTTTGAAAGGAGAATCTTTTAGTCTATCAAGGTCTCTTATAAACACACTATAAAAGTTATCTCAACACCAGTCATCTCACCTCACTACCCTGGAGTCAAAATTTGAAGTTGGCAAGAAAAAGAATAACACATCAAGAGCACTGAAAATCAGCAGGACCAAGGTAAGTAACATTCTGGTGACTGCACCCCTGTAAATAACAATAATAATAAATGTCAGTTTAGAAGAACTTAGACTTTAACATTTACTATCTGTGAAATAATTTCATATTTGTAAACCGCTTTCAGTACTGAATTTTATAATTAGCCCTTTAGCCTTATTGTTTTGGTAAATAGTTTACTAGCCTTATTGTAAATATTACATTTATATAAGCACAAGGTTACTTCTAGTTTTAGTTTTAGTTTTAAATTACATTGTGACCTTTTTTCTTGAATTGTAAATAGCCTTATTAGCATTATTGTTAATTTAGTACTAATAATATTAGTTTTTAGTAGTTTACGGTTTTAATCACCTTTAATTATAATTTATGACGATAAATTTGGAGCCTGGAATTTTTTACTTCAGAGTACTGTAATGATCAGAGGTTTTGAAACACTTAGCTAGAGCACCCTCAAATTTGTCTCCCTGTAAATATATCTTATTAACCAAGCACAAGGGCCATACGGGGAGAATATTAGCCATCAGTCTTGACAGTACAGACCTCGCTGCGCTCAGTCTGTACAAAAAGGACCGAGGGCCAATATTCTTCCAGTACGGTTCCGAGCAAGCTTGGTTAAAAAGAGATTTATTATACGCCTGAAGTTCAAAGGGACACTAGTGCAGTATCATTCGGGGCAGTGCCCGGTCTAATACTTAGAGAATAGAGAATCTCCTTTACGTGAGATTCAGGGGTGATATTGTAAGGTGAAATTACATGATAGCCACTCTCAGGGGTCTAAGGGTTAAATGCATGGTTTCAACCTCTCTCCCCCCTCCCCTCTCATCCACCTCCATCTCCCCCCCTTGTGATTATCAATGTCGCTATCCACCTCTTTCACTTTCAGTTCGCATCAGCTGTATGTAAATGTCTTGTTATGTAATACCAACCATGAATTGGGGATAAGTTCTGCGCGCCTTCTTATTTGAAGTATACTAAACAACTGATAAGGGATGACAATGATATCATATGTAAAAAAAAAAGAAAAGAACTTAGGTTGAGACGTTCTTGAAACGCGGGCGGAAGCCGGATGAAGAATACCGCACTTTGACGCCAATGTAGCGTTTGCAAGGTCTTCGTTTTCACAATTTAAACCAAACTGCACTGACCAAAAAGATGTAGGAGAACTTTTAACTTCCGGCTATCGTCTGCGTCTCCAAAACGCGTGTGCTTAAGTTAAGCTCCGATCCTTTTCATCGGTCGAAAGAAACGGTAAAGACGCCGGAAGTAAAATAGACAGTGTTGAACTGATTATAATAACCCCTGGTAACGAAAACTGCAAAAGAAGTAAAGTCTTACATTTCTTGTCACTCTTTTTCTCAAAAGTCAACCCAAAAGTTCACGCCTGCAACTTCTAGTCCTTCTTAAGTCGTGTGAAACGCACCACTGACGCAAGATCAGTATTACACGGAACCTACACGTTCTAAACTGTGATAGCGAAAGAGAAAGTCAGGTGTGGCAAATATAAGAAATGACATCGCTCTATGATTGGCCAGTGTACATGCAAGAAAATAAACCGCGCTGGAGAAAGAGGAAGTAGTGGAAGGGAAAGGCAACACAACGTCGCTCTCTGATTGGCTAAAACATACAGGGCAAAAAAATAAATAAATAAATAAATAAATAAATAAAAAGAAAATTACTCAACACTGGAGTGAAATGGCTTGTCATAGCAAACTGGTGTTTTAAACACGAAACAACAACACGTCTTTCACGATCAATTTTAATCAGCTGTTAATAGATCTCTTAATTTTTGGAACAAGCCATGAAAAGGCTTGTACCAAAATTCAATTCTGAGCGCCTCATAATTGAAATATCATACGATAGCAAGCCCAAATAAGGTACAACTCGACACAGAATCTGTCGCTGGAAAAAGGGCGCCAAAATGCAAATCAACTAGTGTTACACTGATTAAAAAGAGAGACTGCAAAAAAAGGAAACTCTTACATCTTTTAGGTTACCCTTTTTTAGAATGTCAACAACCAAGCTCTTTGTCTGCCGCTTTCAGTCGTGTGGAACGTGTCACAAATGAACCGAGAAGAGAACACAGGATCTAGAAATCCTTCACCGTGATAGCGAAAGAGGAAATGGAAATGGTGCGACAAAAACAACATCACTCATCATTTTCATCTGATTGGCTAGAATAAACAACGAAAAATCTTTTTTTGTGATCTCTTTATTCAATGAACTGATTGAAATCTGCAAAAGCCCTAAACTCTGACTACCTTTCTCGAACGTCAACCATTCGTTTGAAACGCAACAATGAACTGACAAGCGAACTAGAAATTCAACACCGCATGTGCCACCGAAAGCGGAAGTCGTGCGAAACGTGGCACTCTACCGAGAACCACAATACCCAGGTTCTACGAAATTTTACACCGTACGTGCTTGTATCAAGATGTCGACTTTGGACTTCAAAACTCTGAGGAAATTTGTAGTTAAAAATAACTGCTTTTATCATCCGACGAGTACAAATATCACGCGGTATTTGTACTCGTCTATTGTAGTACCGGTTAAACAGGTTTTCTCGCATCGCGCAAGTACCCTGGTCCCAGAGGTTCTCTTCTCTCCACCCGAGTACGAGAATTCGGTGCAAAGCGCCGACCAACGAAGGGCTAACGCTCGAAACGTCAGCTTTTGTAATCGTTACGGTGGCCAATTTACCATTTCAACTTTGTTGATATATCCAAATTATTGGATAATGAATAACTTATTAGACGTTTTGTTGTGTAGTATCGCTGAGTATTTTTGCTCGTTAATTGTATTTTGACTCGCCCTACGGGCTCGTCAAAATACGGCACAACTCGTAAAAAAATACTCAGCGATACTACACAACAAAACGTCTAATAAGATATATGAATTAGCCGCTACAGCACACTTAAGGGACAAATAACCGGAATTAGAGTAACGATGAATTCTGAATTTGCGTGACAAGACTGGTTAACGTCACGCAAACATATTTTGAGGGACCGGGTTTTTTTCCTTTTTTTTGTTTCATTTCTCTTTACATTTTATTATTTTTAATTCTCTTTTATTTCTACAGACACCGTGAATGGAATTTGTTTCCTGGGGTATCTTGCATCACACACTTCAGAACTTACAAGCAAAATCTGTTTCAAACCAAAACAACTAAGAATCCTACCCTTTAAGGCATATGCCCATTCTGGGATTAACCCCCCACCCCGAGGCACATTCCTGGTATGTTTCTTAACTTTTAGAAATTTTTTTCTTTTTTTCACAATTTACCCTTAATTGCATAAGACTTCGTGTGATTTCCTTTGCAACTGTTTGGGGACCTAAAAGAAGGGAACTGAAAACCTCTCAAAAAATGCAAAATCGAAATTTGTTTTTATTCCTCAAAAGATTGTCAGAGGGCGTTTCATTTAAGCGATAGAAGGTACTTTCTCTTGGTTTACCGACGTAGTAATAGAGGCTAAATTTTGGGAGAACACGAGAAAAGAGCAAAAAAGAATGTAAATCGCGAGTCGGAGGCAAGAAAATTACGAACTTTCATCGAGTTCTCACAACATTTCAAGTGGGTTACTTGGCTGGTAATGCGGTAGAAAGTGCAGTCCCCTAACGGTAGCTTTTAACCAATCAGGGCACTTGTGGTATCTCAGCTATTTTTTAATTACAGTGTAGTGTAGAATTGGGCAGAATATCGCTATTTGTACCTCATAAATCACAAAGGTAAGCCAGGGAATCTTAATGCAGGTTTAAGGCTCAATAAGCTCAATGTTCCATTACCGCGCACTAATTATTACCGAAAAAGCTTTAGCTAAAATGGCGCCGCATTATGGAACAGTCTAACATGCGATATAAGGAACACAGAGTCTTTGGGGGTATTTAAACGTACGATCAATGAAATTCTTTAAGTCTAACGCACGGCATTCACGGAAAACAGCTTTTAGTGTACAGTATGCTGTTTGAATTTTAAATATCTTAGCTTATGTGATTTGTATTTTTATGGGCTGATGAATGGATCGTGTTTAAATAAAGATTACTACTATTTAGGCCAACTTCTGATTGAGTCTCAAGAGAAATCTTCCCTTAATATCTGGAACCACTTTTGCTAGTTTCCAGGTCGTTGAAATTTTTTTTTTCTTCTCTCCACGTAAAGTTTGTTTACTTACTGTAAAAACCCACCAAATGATCTCATCTAAAAAAAGACACCGATAGACAAAAACTAAAATGTTTTACTCCATCAACACTGCTGCTGATACAATATAAATTACTTCATCAGAGAGAGCCTTACTCTCTTGAAATCATGCATTTCATGATGCAATCTCACGCATTTTTTACAAAAATAAAATCTTTTCGAAAGATTAAAATGAAGAATAAATTGCAAGAACCAGCAGTTTTTCTTTCAAGAACCAAGAAACCCCGACATCTATTCCTAAGTTAGTCCTTTAACTCCAGCCGACCGACAAATGGAGACCTAAAACTTCCAAAGAATAGCACATCACCATCGTCATGAACCTCACTGAGGAAACCGGGTATGACACTGCCAGTTGGATCATGGAAGCTTCTGGTGATATGACCATTTTCATCCAGCTCCAAGAGAAGGCCATAGTTGCGGGAAGTTTTACCGATTAACCACGGTAAGGAGAAAACCTAAATTTTCAACAAAAAGTAAGCGTTAATCAAGTAGAAATCCTCTGTTCAAACTCAGACACCACTGTCTTAAATCAGCCACATATCTCAAAGTGTCCAAAATCGCCTAAAACCACCACTGGTGTCAAAGTCAGACACTAGTGCCTAGAATGGGACAGTGATGTCTAAATTTGGACTCTAGTGTCTAAAATTGGACACAAGTGTCCAAAATTCTGAAACAAGATTGAAGGGGTATAGAATATGTTATTATTACCTATATCCCTCAATCAGGGTTAAAACTGTCCCAATCAAAGCTCTCGCCGCAAATTTTCCCCCAAGAAAGTTTCTTTGCTCAATTCTGTTATTTACATTTATAATAATTGGTTAAATCCAAAATTACCAACCTTTCCATAACTCTAAACTACTCATGGTTACCTTTGCTGTAAAGCTCTTTGCCCTTGCATACAGTTGAAACAAGTCGAAGAAGTCAGTGCGCACAGTTGCTATACCAACCCAGTATCCTCCTTTACTACTCAACCGAATATTGTCTGGAAACCCAGGAAGGTTCTGGGCAAACACTTCTGATTTGCCCTCATTTTCTCCTTTGATGTAGTACCTAAAAACAATCCAGAAATAACGTTAACTAATTTTAAATTTCCCAATACAATTCACCCACCTTTTCAATGACATGGGAAGGCAGAGGTTCAATGCCAAAGCTTTAACAACTGTTACTATAATAGCAACACAGCTACTACAGTAGCAACACAGCAATATGTGATTTGTCATGTCCACTCCTTACTAACACACATTTTTGAAACCTGAGAACTGAATAAGTATCTTAAAGAGAGGACCTTGTCTTTAAAGGGGAGGTGTGTTCTAATGATAAAGATCATGATGCACTTATATAGCACATTCTGCACATTAATAAACTCTAATATGCTTTTACAGCACTTTGCAGAAGACTTTGGCAAGACAGCATTGAGCAATCTACAATTTTTAAAAGGAAATTTAGCAGGCATCCCAAACTTACGAATTTTTGGAAACAAGGCCAGGCCACAACACCGGGCACAACACTCCTTACACTTTGCATGAAGTACATGGGTTCTTCACTGTCACCTGCTAACCAGTACAGAGAGGATGTGGAAGATAACTATGGTTTGTTGTCCTTATTTGAGAAGATTAGAATGTCTAATTATTTGCAGGTGTCATAGCAAAGGCAGCACATTCTCCTCAGTTATTTTAAGACCCTGAGTGGTTCCGTCTTAGGCCTGCATCCTCAAACTCCAACAAGGCAGTCCAGCACTCTACAAACTGAGCCAACCAGGAGCTATGCATGAATTTGAACACCAATGATTGTCTCCATGGGTAAGAATTAAACCTTCAACCCCTAAGAGTGACCAGCATCTAATTTCTCCTTACAATATCAACCATGAATAGCATATTAAGGTTGCGAGAAAAAAGAAAATGATCACAAACTAAAAAAGCTCTTGATCATTTAACAAATTCTCCTTGTCAGCAACTAAAGAAATGTATGCAGAACAGTATGGAGATTATGCATACTGATGTTAGTGTGTGAAGGGTCAAGGGAATTTAGTTCGTCGTGTAGGGTCTCTGCTCAGAGAGAGTTATAAAGCCAGCATTAAAAGCTTAAAAAACCACGTCTTCATACTTCATTATCCTTAATGTTCCTGTTTCTGATACCAAAACATGGTCACCCTCGGGAGCAATCTGAACACCATTGGCAAAATGAAGTCCATCCATTAAAACTTCCATTTCTCCTGTCTTGGGATGGTATGCCATAAGTCTTCCAGTGTTATCTCCTTCTAGAATGGAGTAGTGCAACTGACGTCTCTGCCACTTACTGCTTGAATCTGTGAAGTAGATAGTTCCGTCTCGTGCAATGTCCAGATCATTCACAAATCTAAAGGCCCTGCCATCAATCCCAGGTGAGGGAGGTACAAGGGTGCTAACTGTCCTTGCCGTAGGGTTCACTTCTAGCAAGCCTAGATAAGCATCAGCCACTATCAGGTTGATTCCGTATTTGTCAAAGCGCATTCCCAAGGGACGTCCACAGGTGGGCTCAGCTTCTGGTGTCCCTGTGTGAGAAAGATAAAAACAGAAGGGTAGATTGAGGAATTCTTGATGTGGTAAAGGGCATCAAAACTATGATTGGGGAGAACATAGAATTTTCTATTTACATAAAAGCCTGAAGAAGCTAAATTTATTCAACATGAGAAATATTTTTTGGAAAAAAAATAACATTTACATACTTCATTTTCAGAAGTAACATTGACCACAGTTAAAAATGGCTGCCGGACTAATATTCTTTTGTTTAAATTTAAATTAGCCCTTCTGACCTCCCTTGAGATAATGTATTCTTTGGAATTTTCTACTGGAGAACAGAAGGGCTAATTTAAATTTAAACAAAAGAATATTAATCCGGCAGCCATTTATGAAAGTGGTCTTTGTAGCATATGCATGCAATCCTGTCATTGAATGAATTATGGTGTCAGACAAGTAGTAAAAAAAAAACCATGGGCCTGATGGGGGTGAAATTTGGTCCTCCGCCAATCTTCCCTGGTTCCGCAACTGAATATCCAATGCACACATACAGGGCATAAATCTGTTAATTTTCTTTTTTCAATTTTATGCAACAAATCCTAACTTACCACAGTTTGCTACCTCCTTCCCAGTTCGAACAACATCTATCACTTTATCTCCCTCAAGTTTGACAATTCTCCCATCAGCTAAGCCTGCATACAAAGTACCTGGATAAAACAAGGACAGCAGCTCCTTGTAAGTAATTTTTATGCAGGGAATCAGGTTGTGCAAAAATTATTGATATTTCAACATTACATAAATACCTGTACTATCGGCAGCTATAGATTCTGGACCAACCAGGTCTCCTTCATACAACTTCTGAGTCTTTGCTAAGATGCTGTTAACCTCCAAAGCTCCTTCAAATTTGGGTCTTGTCTTTTCAAAAACACTGATTTATCAAGAATGTTTTAAGAATACAAAGCACTTTCAAATATCATCACCAATATCAAATGTAATTATTTCATACAAGTAATAAGCTCAAGGGATATGGTCTGAAAACATGACCATAATGTTTTCCTTGGAAAGGTATAAGCATGTAAATTCTATATTAATATCAGGTGATTAGCATCTAATTTCTCCTAAAAATATCACCCCTGAATCATAATACATCAAGATCACAAGAATAAAGACAATGATCATGTGAAAGTGTAGTGTGATCGTCCAGGTGAGTGTAGTCCTGAGAAGGACTGTTGTCGTTGGTAGTGACTGATGTTTTGATAACCTGTGCAGAAGTCATCATCAGAGTCAAGTGAATAGTTTTTGTCAATGATCACCAAGTAAAGAGGCACTTGACTGTTAAACAAATTTTCAATGTCAGCACCATAGGAAATGTATAGAGAAAACTATGGAGAATATGCATACTAATGTTCAAGTGAAAGGGTTGATAATATAATATATATAATACTAATATCTAGGATTTCTATACCACTCACCCTTGAGTTCGGAGCACTTTACAAGATGCACAATTAAAATGATTATAAATAATTAGCTAAATTAACCAGGGAATAACACTAACAAATTAATATTAATAATCCTACAAATCCAAAGCTTGACTTAAATGTCGCAATTGATATTGATAGACATCAATAGTGTTTTAATTCTTCACAGTTAAACAGCACACGATATGTGAAAGTGAGTGTGAACAAAGCTCCACCAAGTGAATTTTGATGCAGTATCATCTTCTCCAGTGTTTCTCTCAGTTTGAAATGAGGAGCTTGCAGTCTAAGAAGTCACCTAATAAACTTTTGCCATACACCCATTCCTTTAGGCTCTAACCCTGTCCCAATTCAGCGAAACATTAATTTCCTCTAAAGAAAAGTATGCTGCATCTCACCTCACTGCCTTAGGTTCAAAATTTGAAGTGGGTAAGAAGAAGAACAAAACATCAAGAGCACTGAGAATCAGTAGAAACAAGGTAATTAACATCCCTGTGACACCCCTGAAAATAATAATACACAAAAGTTAGGAATAACCTATGCTTTAACATTTTTCGCTGTGTACAGTAATGATCAATGACACTTGAACTAGAGTTTTTCCAAATTTTGCAACCCACGAAATGTACAATCCCCCCTTCCCTTCCCCCCTCCATCTCCCCCTTCACTTCCCCCCTTGCCATTTTTATTTTGTGCTGGTCCTCTCTAATCGTCACCAACATTAACTGAGAGCTTTGATGTACAGTCTTAAGTCTTCAAATGTTCTGAAAGCCATAACAATGAAATTTAAAAGTTCACATTTTAAGACAAATTTTTACCCGAGAACACCTTTTAACTTTAATATAAATCATAACCCTGGTTAGACAAAACCGAAAGAAGGAACCAAAATTTAAATGATTTAACGGTATGCAAAACTATCAAACTGAAGCAAACATTTACTGTAACCCTAGGTTAGCACAACCGTGTTTTGAAAAAGCTGGCCAAGAATAGCCGCTTGTCACTATTAGGTGGTGTCTAAAAAACGAAACCGGAACAAGCTCTTCCAAGCAAATCTGCAATATCCTCCGCGCTTTCTTTCGCTATTATTTTCCCCTACCCATGTGCGTCTTTAAGCTGTAAAAATATCTCATGGTCTCTAATAATATAATTCGTGAATTAGGGAAGATTTCTGCGCACCTTAACAATTGAAATATCAACAACTAATCTACGAGGGGGCCACACGATATTTAGAATCTTTCGCACGCGCGGTTAAGGCGCCTAAATGCAAATCACCTCGTTTTGAACAGATTAACCCTTCCAGAAACTGCAAAAGAAGTGAAATCTTACATCTTTTATAATGCTCTCTTTCTTGAAGGTCAACCACCAGCTGTCCGCGTGCAGCTTACAGTCGTGTGAAACGTGGCACTGAACCGAAAGATGAACAGTGAAGGAAGGAAAATGGTGCAGGAAAAGTAACACAAAACCACTCTCTGATTGGTCAGAACATGTCACACATCTCTGCAAGCGATGTCGACTTTAGACCTTTAAGCCCTGTGGAAATTAGCTCTGAGAGAACTTCATTTATTAATCTTTTACCAATTTTAATTACAACATACCGCAAGAAAGCGTAACTAAAGTTTCTAGCAGGAACCAAGAGTACTGAAGTTGCGCAACAAGCGACTTGAGTCACGCAAACATGGTTGTTAACATGGAACGCGCATTTCGGTTTTTTTGTTTGTTTGTTTGTCTGTTTTGTTTTCAATCACGTAAAAACATTGTAAAGCGCTTTGTTGGAGGGATTAAATCATCTTATGATATATATCACACACTTTCATCATATATGAAGGGGCTTTGTGTTGTAGGGCACATTACGATCTAAGAACGAAGTAAACAGGCAAAAATAAAACATTTTACTCAACCACGGAAATTCAACGGGAATGAAAGACTGTAAACTCCAGTTTGAGACGTTCATGAAATTTTAGACAGCTTCCAGCTGAAAAGAAAACATTCGAACAAGAATAAAGATGTTATCCGCTCTATTTCCAACATCAAGTGTTCCGTTGAAAACTGGGCACAGGGGTGTGGCTCACGTGATTTCTAATTAAAAGAACAGCGGGTCTAGGAGAGGGTCGGGTGGTTCGGTCGAGCACCCTAAATTTTCCTTAGAACGCTGGAAATCATATTTCTGAAGACCTAAACCCTTGACTAAATCCTGGATCCGCCCCTGGTACGGTTTCAATCCGGACCATAGAAAA